AAAGAATCAGCCAGCCCCTTGACTGTGACTTCCAGTCTCCAGGCAGTGAGAAAAAATTTCTGTTGTTCATAGCCACCCAGGCTGTGGTATTTTGTGAGGGCAGCCTGAGCAGGCTCAGACCTAAGTATTATCTACCTTATGAGCCTGAGTTTTAAGCCCTGGAGCATGTGCCCCAATATATATTTACAGATCTGCTATTTTTACTATTTGTCCTTGGAAAAGGTCATGTCTTTGCTTATAGAGCCACAAATTTAACAACTGTATTTTAAAATAGTATTATTCACTCCGGTAAAAACTTTACTGGCACCCCCCCTTTTTTTTCTATAAACAGAAGATAGCTTCTTTCTCTGCTGACCAAAGAGATTTTAAATTTAAAGAACCAATATCACATGCCATCTTGCGTGTTTCAAAGGGATGCCAGCCGAACCTACTGAATAGCTGTTAAATAATAGTTAAAGCCTACCATGGAAGGATTTCTCCTGCATGGGAGCAGTCCCAGGGGAGGTGTGACTGTTACAGGATTATGTTCTGATGGTGCAGGTCAGATGCTGTTCTATGGTTCCCCCCCTTCTCCCTTTCTGTCCTTCCCCACACATCCTTCATAACTGCAAACAAGCCTGTAAAAAAAGGTCTGTAGAAAAAAGTCTAACAATACCCCAAACACTATTAATACTTTTTTAAGTAAGCTCTCCGCCCAACGGGGGGCTAGAACTCACAACCCCAAGATCAAGAGCTGCAGGCTTTCCCCACTGAGCCAGCCAGGCACCCCTATTAATACTTGTCTTACATTCACTAACATCTCATGGGCCTCAATCCAAGGGATCAAATAATATCAGCTGAAGAGAGAACTTACATTTTCACCACATGTCTGCCTGGGTGTTGAAATGTTCGATGGTAGCAAGTCTCTCTACAAAGCACATGCGAGTTTGCAAAATGCTTGCCTATTCATTAGCTTCATGACAAACCTCAAGAACTATCCGGAGCCACCATTCCCATGTTTCCAGGGGGAAACTAGGCTCAGGAAGATAGATGGTAGGCGAAGACACAGTTGCAGGAATTTTGAAGGCTCATCCAGTGTACAGGCTACGGGAACACAGTGAACGCGAAGTAATCCGAGCCTAGAGTAACAAACAGGAAGGGAGCACTAAAATAAATCTCACAAATGGAAAAAGTCAGATATGCCTCCTGTTTCTGTGTTTGGTGCACTTAAGTCCTACGTTCTGTGACACGGACTAGTTATGAAGAAATTCCTCAAATGAAGAATAGGTCATTTAGAACTTACTAGCTCCGTAATAGCCTAGACCAGTGGCTTGCAAACTTTTTGGCCTGGGGACTTTTTGACACTCTTCAAATGATCTTAAAAACTTTCGAGGACTCCAGAGAGCTTTTGTTTATGGCACTTTTAACTACCCATTTGTACTGCATTAGAAAATAAAATTTAAAAATTTTAAATATCAGTTTATTAAAAAATAAGAAGGTGATCACATGGGAAGCGAAATATGTCATTTTTATTACAATAGAACTATATTTTCCCAAACAAAACAAAGATTGGTGAGAAATCTGGCATTGTTGTATAATTTTAGAAATCTCTTTCACATCTGGCTTCAGACATCCGGCTGCATTCTCCTGCCCGGGTTTGTGTTCTAGCTGTGGTGAATATCATACATGTAGCTCTGGAAAGTTCCACCGCAAGTCATGAGAGAAAGAGAGCGAACAATTCAAATGATGTATTCATGTGTTTATGAAAATGGTTTGATCTTGAAATCCGTCTGAAAGGATTTCCAGGGTCACTGAGCCAAACTTTGAGAACTATTGGACTGAACAACAGCAAACCCCTAATTTTAAGAACACACGTTTTTAAGGTACAGGCTTTTAAGCACATAATCTCTGAGATGAATACCACTTCCTGTAGAATCAACGGGGTATTAGAGTTTTTGTTTTTCCCTTGACTTTAAAGATAATCCAGAGCCAGGAAATTCTAAACAAAGAACAAGGACTCTAGTCCATCTGGACTCAGCAAGGACCCCGGGAGAGGGCGGTTATTACGCCAGGGACTGTCACTTTATGTGCAAACACCAAACAATTACAGGAGTGCGCACAAATGTTAATTTTGGTCTCCTGACTTATGTAAATTCAAGCCTGCACACTTAAATCTTCGTACTGTGAGTGCCAACAAATAAGATTCCCCTAGGATGTCAACAGATGTGGCGATTAGAGATTGTTCCAAACTCTTGGACTTTTGGGGCCCCAGAGAGAGGGGCGGTCCTCCATGTAGCGGCCAATCAGAAGCAAAAGGGGCCTCTTTGTCTTGAACACCAATACCCTGTGGTTCTTCCACCCCAGATCTGTCTCAGACCTCCTGCCCTGGGACAGGAAAAAGTCTGAGTGCTGGCTCCATGTCACTCCTCCAATGAGAAAGATATTCAATGTTTTGCCACATGCCACAGCTGGGAAACACTCAAATGCAGTATTACTTAATAAAGCAATTTAGGGGGCGCCTGGGTGGCTCAGTCGGTTAAGCGTCTGCCTTCGGCTCAGGTCATGATCCCGGGGTCCTGGGATCGAGTCCTGCATCAGGGTCCCTGCTCATCGGGGAGAGTCTGCTTCTCCCTCTGCCTCTGCTGCTCCCCCCGTTTGTGCTCTCTCTCTCTCTCTCAAATAAACTCTTAAACATAAAGCAATTCAGAATGCGCTGTCTTATTTCTATATATGCCATAACTAAGCAAATGACAGGGGAATCACAATCCCTTAATTCATCATTCTTTGTGAAACAGTGTGACCCCCCCCCACTCCCTTCGTCCCTCCCTCCGTTCTTTCTACCTCCGTTCTTAAATATTGATTACGTACCCATTATGAACGAGGCACTGTGATAAACAGAACCTCATATTTTTCTGGCTACCAATTCTGTGTGTTTGTAATTATTAAATAATCTTTTTTTCCTAAATAAGAGGAAGGCATGCCCCTTATAGGATATTAAAATTATAGTAAAGTGTAAAGAAGGCAAGTATAATTGCCCATAGCTAATCTCTAGGGGTAATTTGAATAAATTCTAGATATTTTTCCCCTGTGGTTTCACCGAGTTGAGATTATATGTGGACACCATTTTATATCCTGATTTGTTTAACATTGGATCACGAGCAGCTTCAATGTTATTTAAAATTCATCATAAACCTAACTTTAATGCCTAGAGTTGATGATAAATATCCCAATGGAGAATTCTTATTTCTCATTTCAGATTTCCTTAGGACCAGTTCCTTCCTGGAGGTAGAATTACTTGCAGGGAAGGCTACATTTCATAGCTTCTGTTAACATACTGACAACCTCCTTTCCTTGGCAGTATCAAGATTACACCACCAGAGGAGGGGGCTCATTTCATTGCACCCTCACCAGTATTGAGGGCAATGTTTATTTACACATGATCCTTGCTAACATGATTAATAAAGGAAACAAATCCTATCTTTTTTAAAAAAAAATTGCATATTGGACTCACCGTAAAATAAAATCTTTTCAAAGTGCCAGTAAAGGGGCACCTGGGTGGCTCAGGGGGTTGAGCATCTGACTTCTGCTCTGGCTGGTCCCGATTCTGATCTCGGGGTTGGGAATCAGCCCGATTCAGTGGGGGGGCAGAGGGGGCGGTCTGCTTGTCCCTCTCCCTCTGCCCCTCCCCTGCCTCCTGCTCTCTCTGTCTCTCTCTCAAAGAAATAAATAAAATATTTAAAAACAAAAAGTGCAGGTAAAATTATAGAACACTTTAAAATTCCAAGATAAAAGTTGAATAAAGACACTTGTGCCCACTTTTCATTAATTCAATTAGTGAAAGGGAGGCAGACCCGGATCATCCCAAAAGTCACTGGATCGGAGTTTTGGTGGCCAACACTGAAACCAATCTTGATCACTTAATCAGAAGAGAAATGTCTTGGAAGGCCAGCAGGTAGCACACCAAAACAGACAGGAAGGCTGGAGCATCAGGTTCATCAAACAGGTAGGGTGGTTGGAATCAGAACATGTCACCCAGTCCACGTAGGACACCGCTTGGTGTTGCCACTGGACATGTCTATTACCTCTAGCACGGCTGCTTATGAGCACAAACATCACTTCCTAGATAATGACATTATTTCTAAAATGTCTCCTGTTTGAGTCAGACTCTGGATTCAAAGACCTGGATAGGAATCTCTGATGGGCTGAACTGAGGTCACATGATGGTGCTGGGGATGCTAGGGGGTGCAGACAGTGAGTACTGGGCCATTTCGGCTTTTATGATCATTTGGATTCTAGGTAGCAAGACCTTGATCAATGACCACTATAAATATTTATGTAAAATTCTTTGTTTCGTAATATTTTTTAGGAATCTGGTTAATCTTCTTAATTACAGCTGAATTTTTAGATTGTCTAGCCGGTCATGAGATTATATAGTCCAGAACTGCAAACTCAAATGTCCATCCTGTCTTCAAACGGCAGTGGGGTGAGGCATACGGGCGTGGTGGGGGCTGTGGAAAACTGAAGAGCATCATCCCAGGGTGAGGGGGACACCTCTGACTTGGCTCCAGCTGATGGTTGCTAGAACCCACCATGAACCAAGCGTTGCCAATTCTTTCGACTTCTCAGAACACACCAAGAGTCTGCGTTTTTGTGAAATTTCCTGACTTTAAAATTTGGAACGAAATTCAAAATGAGAAAAACCATGACACCATGGCTTTTCCAAAATCAGGGCTGCAGGCCGCCTCCAAGAATCAAACCTCTTCATTTTCCAAAACCGAAACAGGGAATTGAGGCCTAAGAAGGTGGGGCACGCCTGAGGCCCAGCAGCTCAGCTGGGGCCAGAGGCAGGGCTGGAAGTTTGGTCTCCCCAAGAAGAGGAGATTAGGAAAAGCCAGTGTTTCACTACCTGTCTCTGCAATCACTTCTCCTGGCAATAACCTCCTCCCCAAATTCAGGAAAAGTAGAACAGTGTCTGTGTTTCTTCCAGCAGGAGCAGTGTTTATAAAATGTTTATAAATTCATAGAATCTGCCGGGCCGACAGAAAGAAATACCGTGTAGTGACGTCAGATCAGAATTTAAATCTTAACTCGTACTACTTTCTAAGTGGGTAACCAGGGACAAATTACTTCTCCGGGTCGCAATCACGGGAAACGTGAGAGCACTTTTCATAAGGCTGTGGGGAGGATGAAAGATTTCACGCTGATCGTGCCGGACACAGTGCCAGGACCATACTAAAAAACGCCGCACAGGATAATAACACGGTACCCAGAAGGTAGCTGACTCGTCCGCGTTACCCGGGTGCGCGAAGCAGTGGGGGGTGGGGGGGTGGGGAAGGAAGAGGACCAACGCGTTTCACGGTGGGGGTGAGCTATGGATGACCCTCCAGGCAGAATTCCTAACACGAGGACTAAGTGGGGTTTCCACCCACGCGCCAGCCTTCCTCGGACTCCCGTGCGAGGGTCAAGGCCACGTCCAGCTGCACAGGGCGCGCGTACCCCGCAGCGTTCAAAGGGCACCCCCTCGGGGCCACCTGGGTGAAGCCCACGGTGGCGCACAAGCGAGCCCCAGGGGTTCGGGCTGGGGAGGGGACGCGCAGCGTTTCGGAGGAGAAAGTGGCCGCGGGTGGTTTCACCGGCGCCCTAGGCCCGCCCCGGGGACTCGCTGCCTGCCACCCGCGAGCTTTCTCTGCATTATGCGGGAGCCGCCGCCGCGGAGGAGGGGAGGAGGCAGGGGCGGAGGCGGCGCCCAGGGCCCCGGGGCCGGGGAGGCCGGGACCAGCGCGGCGGCGGCGGCGGCGGCGGCGGCGGCGGGGGGGCCGGCTGCAGGCTCGCGTCGGCCGGCCTGCGCGTGGGTTCCCCAGGGACCTGCTCGGCGCGGCTTCTGGGCAGCGCGGCCGCCGAGGGGCGGCGGCGGCGGCGGAGGAGAGCGGGGCGCGGCGGAGAAGCGGCGACCGCACGGCCAAGGCCGGCGAGCGGGCGCTCCTCACGGGGGGGGGGGGGGGGGGGGGGGGGGGGGGGCACATCACCCGGCTGCAGGCCCTTCCAGCAAAAGCCACCGCGGCCCGTGCTGCAGCGGCCAGACGGATGCCAAGGCCACAGGGCAGGCGCGGGGACAGCCGCCGCAGCCGCCGTCCCACGCGGGCTCCGGACACCAGGGGCTGCCGGTGAGTGGACGCGCGCGGGGGTGAGTGTGAGGGCGCTCCGGCCCGGGGCGCGAGGGCATGCCGGCGGGGGGGTGGGGCAGGTGCCCGCGGGCCCCTTTCCCGCCCGCGGCGTCCGGTCCCGGGCTTTGCTGGGCGGGGAGAAAAGGCGCGCTGCCGGGGCTCACTTCCTTCCTGGCGGTCCTGCGAGCGGCCGCCTGCGCCGCGCTGCCGGGGCGCGGCCCCCGCCGGCCCCTAGGGGTTGCGTTCACCTTGATGGGGAGGGCAGGAAGCCGTGACTCCCGGTGGCGGGGCGGGACTCCGGCGGCGACCTCTGCGAGTGTGCTTCTGATTCCCACTGGGGATGCAGCCTGGGGGAGGGTCCGGCGTCCCGAAGGACCACGGCTCTGCTTCTGGGGCGCGCTGCACAAACAGACCCTCACCCCTGCAGGACGAGCGGCGCGCCTTTCTAGATGGTGTTTGATTTTGTGCCTTCTCTGAGCGACTCTAAGACACGTCCCCTCACCTGGATCATTGAAGCCTTAACCAAAGCCTTTTAATGAAGTCGACAAAGGAAGTGGAATGTGGCTGAGACATAATTTTCCTAAACTCTCTAAAACAACCCCCGCTGCGGATCCAAGCGCCCTAAGGTGCTCTAATTACTGAAAAGGAAAAAATAAAATAAAATAAAGTTGTATAAGTAATAAGTTGTTTAGCAAACAGAACCGGATCGAGAGGATGGAAGAAAGTCTTGTGTTTGGTTGGCGTGGGGGGAGGGATGGCTTTCTGGAAATCAGTGTTTGATGTAAGTACAACAGACATCTTTCAAAGTAAGCCCCAGCGATCACCCTGCTTTCCAAACATCCTGCTAATCACTGAGAATGAAACGAAGTCCTGGGTTTTGGGGCTGTCCAAAATGATCGTGGCTATCTAGGGTGCGGATTTACGCTCTCATGATTCAAGGCCCTGTCAAGGTCAATATGGCAGATTTGTTCCAGCAGTTAAATTACACCTGGATGTTTGATTTCCTGTTCCAAGATTGGGGGCGGGGTGGGGGGAGGGGAGGAATTACTTTTTCTCTGGTGGTTTTACACAGAGATTAAGCCACTGTGTTCTGTTTCTTTCCAGCCCTCGTTTCGGTTGGCAGTCTTGTAGGCATTGTGTAGCTGCCCTCTAAATATTTGTTTCTTTTTTTTTTTTTTTAAGGATTTTGTTTATTTATTTGACACAGAGAGACAGTGAGAGCAGGAACATAAGCAGGGGGAGTGGGAGAGGGAGAAGCAGGCTCCCCGCGGAGCGGGGAGCCCGATGCGGGGGGCTCGATCCTAGGACCCCGGGATCATGACCTGAGCCGAAGGCAGACGCTTAACCACTGAGCCACCCAGGCTGTTTCTTTTTAATTCAGGTTAGTGCCTTTGAGAAAGACGCTCCCCTTGTTTCCCATTTTCTCCAGTGCAGCATCTTCATTCCAAGACATGAAATGTTACTGGAATCTACCGAGAAAATGAATGGGTTCTTGTTTTTTGTCCAAGCATATAGACAGCAAATAGTTTGCCCCTCAGAAATCTGTTTTTGCATGTACTTCAGCTGTCTTTTCTGTATGAGCTGGTTCTTGGGAATTTTAAGAAGAAATGTGCTTTCTTATAGTCCTTCGTGAAATAAGCACCATTCCGATGATCAGGCAGAGAATTCTAGCCCTTTATTCATATTGCCAGCTTCCGGGGGCCAGTTTCTTACCTACTCTTGGGCCTTTTGGTAGGACCCATTACCAGTGAGAGGCTTGGAGGAAGAAATGGCAGAATCATGGCCCCAGCGTATCTTCCCCAGACAAGTTTCTCTTGGAGAGGAGAATGTCTCTGGGGTTGGCTCCTGAAAAGACAGATAAAAATAGTTAGGGAATTGTTAATAATAGCTACCTCTTTTTACTTTCAGCACATAGGACTTAACACAGCTTGGTTCATATTCCTCCTTTAAGGACCCTTCCCGAGCCTACTTACAGCTACAATCCCGGAAGTGAGGTTGCCTTTTACAGAGAAGAAAAGCCTGGTACTTCTTGCTGGAAATGTGAGGGGGCAGGAGGAATGTGAGAGGTGCCCAGGAATCCCGGCTGCCTACCTGGAAGGATACATTTACCAATTAGACCTCATTTTAATCCTCTGGGTTTATGATTCTGTCCAAGGCTAGCATTTTTTTTTTCTCAACACTGTGAGGGATTTGTAAGTAAGTTGGGTTGAAACTATGAGAAATGACTCATGGTCATCCTTGAGAATATGTGAGTCAGTTCGTGGTCCCTTAGGCTAATGGATTACCTCTGCTTAATAAATATTTGTTACATGAATAGCAGTTCTAAAATGTTGATCTTCCCAATTTAGCTCTATCACCTCTTCTAGTATGGATTATTTTTAGCCATAACTTGGTATGAATTACCAGTCATTTCATCCAGTTGAAGCCCAGTTGATACACTCAACTAAGACTGACTTCCTCCACCAAAGGAACCGTAAGAATCCCTCCAAAACAAAACAAAAACAAACAAACAGCAGTGTATTGGTACCTGTTGACTTGCTTATTCCAGCTATCTGAAATTGTGAATTGTCCAGTTGGACATGTGAGTGGCCATTCAGAAATCCTGAGTTGACATCAGAATGTTCAACTCAGGAATAATCTGGATGTAGCTACATCTGGATGTGGCTTTTGTCAGAAATGATTTGCATTCCTAAGCAAATCAGGTGAACTTCTGGTACATTCCTGTATCTCCTCATGCTAAGTAGAAGAGCCAGTTAAACATTTGGCAAATTGCTAAGTCTTCAAAGCCCATGTTGTTTGATTTTTTAAATTTTAAATTAAATCCATGTTATGTTTGTCCATTGATGTGATTGCCTTAGAGATATGAATTCAGACTGCTGGTTACTTAGTAACTCAGATGTATTAAAAGCAGCCCCTGGATATAAATACAAATAATTCGTATGTTTTGATTTGCTCTGGTTAGCCTCTCAAGTTACTCTTGGGAATGGGTGCATTCTCTGATCTTGAATATTAAGGGTATTATACCTTTCTTTCTTTTTTCTTTAAATAGGGTGACTTTCCATCCCCAATCCTTAGAAGTTTACCCTGTGGTTCATGATCTAGTTTCAGAGTGAAAGATTAGAAAGCTGTCCGAAATTTACCTGGATATTAACATTAGAGTGCACATTAGTAATGCACATTTTCTCTTTGATATCCTTCCCTTTATGTCTTTCAGTCAAGCTTGTTTCATTCTGAACAAAAGTCAGATGAGACCCTTCAACACTTAAATTGGTTTTCTGTCGGGCTGTGTTCAAAATAAATATGTAAAATAAAACATTGCCTATCACTGTGGTTTTGAAGTAACATCAACACTGCTGTTCTCTATGTAATGAAGCATGATCATTTTTTTTTTAAGATTTTGTTTATTTATTTGACAGAGAGAGAGACAGCGAGAGAGGGAACACAAGCAAGGGAAGTAGGAGAGGGAGAAGCAGGCTTCCCGCTGAGCAGGGAGCCTGATAACGGGGCTCGATCCCAACACCCTGGGAACATGACCTGAGCCAAAGGCAGACGCTTAATGGCTGAGCCACCCAGGCGCCCCTAAGCATAACTATTCTTATTAAGGATTTATTTGATAAGTAGGCATTGAGCACTTGAACCTGAGTTAAAGGCATGTTCTTTCCACGTCTTATTAAGGCCCTCGAAAGCCAGGGTGTGGCATTTTGATTGGACGAGGTGGCCAATTCAAGGTCGGTTCATTGAAAGGAGTAAGTGACGAAAGCATATCCTTTTAGAAGAGTATTTGGCACCTGGCTATTTGGCGCTTGAGTGGATTCGTAGAAGAAGGGAATTGGGGTGGAATCTAGCGGCAGAAAATGATGGCCTAATGAGGTAGCATCCCAATGACACCGAATGGACAAGGGAGAATGTCAGGCAGTCAGACCGATGTCATGTGTGGACGAGGGTCAGTGCACCTGACCACGACCACGACCTCACTTGTTCCCCATCCGGTTGATCACAGCATCCTTTCCTGCTGAGCCCCGGTGTAACCTCAGAATCTTGCAAACGCTGGCCAGGTATTGTCACAGGGGCAGACACAATCCCAAGCCAAAAATCTAGAGAGCAGAGCA